AATGCATGATTTACCTTTGTCAATTTGCTTGAAACTCCATAGGATAGATGATAGTTAAGAACACCTAGAGATGCTATTCTTAATCTAAACTTTGAGCTTGATAAATACAATAAAAATCCTATTACAAAATTATCAAGGGAAGCCAAAAGAATTAATCAAAATTCATACATTAACACAAATTAAAAATTATATATATTTAAATATTTTTTTAAATGATTGAATAAAATAAAATCAATAAAGTTAATTACAATAAGAATTATACAATTAAAGTGGTTTCAAAGAGATCAAATTTGAATATATATAAATAACAAAAATTAATTAAAAAAATTTCTTTGGTTAGTGACAATATTATATTAACACTTTTTTTTGAAGAATTGGAAGTTGAGATTGTATAAGAACACATCAAAGCACGTCCTTTTCAGGTTATTGCAGATGCTCTTATGGACCAATCATCTCAACAAGAAACTACCATTAATCCCAAAAAATGTAACTTTTCTTAACATTGAAAAGTTGTTTTATTTCCTCAAGTTCAAAATTTCCATGTCCCAAGAACATTATTGCAAAGTTGTAAGGGGTCTCTTTCAACAAGCCTATGCATATCAAACGTGAATGTTAAAGGAATTAGGTTAAGCAATATTCTAAACGATTAGGTAATTAGGTTAAAAAATTCAAAATTTGAGTAATAGCTAACTGCTTACATACAAACCGGCCGCATGACATATTGCTTTCCCAATATCGGGCATAGCCGTCATAGTAGAGGTTGTGTGGATAAGGTGACGTTGTTGGCTAATTGCTAAGAACATTGTCACCTTTTATGAATGAACATCCCAAAAATAAGTCTTTTGTACATATATATGATGGCTGATGGATAAGATTCAAACAAGTTCGAGGTGGCTTATTGTAGACTATGCTTTATTTTCCAATACATCAAATCAATAGCATTATCTAGGATCACTAGCCAGACTCATACATGTTCATTGTTAAACCTTCCAATCTCTCTCTAAATAGGTGGGATACTTTGTTCATGCTTGAAAAAGTCGTGAGGATCAACCATGGTTTTCACACGCACCAATCTTTCGAAGTTACCTTTAAAATACTTGCTTCCGTAAACTCTAGCAGTTAGAAGGTTACTTTGGTTGTACAGATTGGCGCCAATGTCGAGATCCCTATAGTTTTGGAAGGCCTCTCTCGGGTTCCTGGAGACAAATGGAGTCATCTTTTCATACAACTTTCTTGTTAAGTGAATGTACCTGTTGGTGGCCTCAATCCCTTCGTCTTGATACCACGACGTATCGTATTCAATCATATATAGGTTTCCAGCTCTGTGAGGGTATGGAGTTGCTGACGCAGAAATCTCACTCATTCTTCCACCATGAGGGTTCCATGCCATCCATAAATTCCCTATCTCAAGCATCGCCTTAAACATGTATTCTATGACTTTTTTTGGAATTGGTTTCTTCACATAGTCAGACTTAGCTTTGTAGAAGGGTATTGGTTTGCCTGTCTGGTTGAGAAGAATAGTTATTGGGGTTCCAAGTGGGAAGTTAGCCCAGAATACAACGGATTCAATCCAACTCACTTCATGACAGTCTTTTCGTCTTAAACCCAATTCAGGGAATGTCTCGTTCATCAATGGAAGAAGCTTGTCAGTTTGTCCCAAAAAATGACCAATGAATGATACTTCCGCAGTCTTCTTGCCCTCAGTATTGTTCTCGATTTGTGACCTTGCTCTCAGGAATAGGTCTTTAGGGAACACGGGTGCTACAAATTGCCACTTATAAAGGACATCTGTAACGCCTTGCTCTAAAGTCTTTGTAACGTTGAACACGGTCACTTTTTCTGGAACTCGAACAAGCTTGAGTTTCCATGAAAGAACGACTCCAAAGCTAGCTCCTCCACCTCCTCTAAGGGCCCAGAAAATGTCTTCTCCCATAGACTTTCTATCAAGGATTCTACCATTTGCATCAACTAGTTTAGCATCAACGATATTGTCGATGCTAAGGCCGTATTTCCTCATCATATTCCCATAGCCTCCACCACTAAAGTGGCCACCAGCACCGACAGTTGGACAAACCCCAGCAGGAAACCCATGAACCTTGGTTTTCTCAGCAATTTTATAATAAGTTTCGCCAATAGTAGCTCCAGACTCAACCCAAGCGCTCTCATCCTCGACATTAACATCAACGGATTGGAAATGAAACATGTCCAGAACGACAAAGGGGACATGCGATACGTACGACAGACCCTCAAAGTCGTGGCCACCACTTCGGATTCTAATTTGCAATCCATGTTGTTTTGCACAAACAATAGTTGCCTGCACATGAGATTCGTGCTTGGCTGCTACAATGGCCAGAGGTTTTGGAGTTGCAGGGCTTGAAAATCTGAGGTTTTTAATGCGTGCCATCAAAATGGATCGAAAAGAGGTGTTTTGAGGGGTGTAAACGGCTTCAAAGATCGGGCGGCCAGAATGAAACTGTTTTGGAAGGCATTCGAGAAAGCCATTAATGGGAACTGGCTCTGAAGTTGCCCATGATACTGAGAGTGATGAAAGGATTGAGAGGATGAGCAGCGCTAGTGGAGAGTTTGGAAACTTCATTGTCATAATTTGTTGGGGGTTTTGGATTTCTTAGTTTCAATATTTTTGGCAGTGTGACAAATTGAACAAAACCTTGCAGTATTTATAATGAAACCAAAGCACCCAACTTTGAATAATCGACTTATTTTTTTGGCATGGTATTTATTCGTCAATGACTTGTATCAGAAGAGAAACCCAAAGGATAGAGATGGAGAAATTAAAGAAGATGAGAATTTTTGTCTATTGCGCACACTGATTTCAGATAATTAAGCTTATCCTAAGACTAAGAATTTTATAAACAGAATCAATACATGCCTGGCACGTGTGTGTCTACTCTTTGAATAATGGTACTGGTGGATGGAGGATGTAGCCATTTCTGGCCATAGAGATTTCATCTTCACCAGAGACATAGAATACGTACTTAGGTCACCTCATCGATATATTTGAGTAAGCATTGTTTATTTGGGGTGATAGGTGATTTTTAAAAAAGTTTAGGAAGCCCAGTCCGTTTGATAACATATGAGAAAATCACTTATTATTTAAAATTGTCATTCATTTTCTTTTCTCATTTGGAACCTGGGAAAAGACCACATACCCAATTGTTTAAAGTCTGTGGATAACCAGGGAAATAGCTACAATTTGGTAAGCAATTCATTTGGTTTGCTTTAAAATTTGTTGTGATTTTGAAAATCATTATCTGGGTTTTTGTTTACTGCCTTCTGTTGCCTAAAAACTTTAATTGTTATTGTATTTTGTTTACTTTTAATCAGCTACTTTCTTTATGTACCGGCTTGCATAAGTTTTTTTTATATATTTATTGCTTCCTATTGGGGTTTTACTCTGTATCTAGTAGCTTTGATTGAAAATCTTGTACATTCTTGAATGGTCATGAGTTTGGTTGGTTGAACTTTTGTTTCTCCTTTGATATATCTTTGTTATGACCATATTATTGACAATATATTTATTTTTAATGGAAACTTTATTTATTTTATAATTAAAATAAAATTTAGAGTGTGATGGAAACATATTTAATACAAAAAAAAAAAGATAAAGTGAGGACATGTTTACGTATCAGTAATGGGTATGAGAGGAAAGGGAATAATTTCCATTCCTGATTTCCCCTGCCTTTACTTGCCATCAGGAATGAAAAAAAGGAGATTCACTATTATAACCAATATAGGAGCCCAAATTATAAAAAAACCCTATATGAAATAGACTTTAGAAACACACCCAAAGCCCATTTACAACATAACAAAAAGACTTTTAACTTCTTTTAAATTACAAAACTGCATTTGATTTCTTAAAACAAATCCAACCCCAAAACCTCATAAAAAAGCCCAGAACACTTAATAGGGTATCAAAGTAATTTAATTATCAAAATTAAATTCAATAGGGTCAGCTATCATTTTGTAGGTGTTTCTTGGGTTTGTTTATAGAAATTAAATAGTGTAGGGTTTATTTATAGTTTTAGTGCTAAGAATGGGTATATGACTAAATATCTCATGAAAAAATAAGTTGGCCCCACCTCAAAATCCGTAATCACATTCCCTCAAAACTAGGTATCAGATCAACTAAGGGGGAGTGGTCGATACGATTCCCATTCCTGTTTTCTCTTAATAACTTCCAACAATACCCTTATCACTTTATCATAATTCCAAAACACCCCAAACCCTAAAAAAAAAAAAAAAACGCAGCAACGCATTGTGCTACGTAAGTCATTTTTTCTATATATCTATCTTCTTCTTCTTCTTCTATCTTCTGTCTTCACATTCATCACAAAACAAAGTACGGTCATGGATAAAGACTTTTTTGGAGATTATATATATCTTTTTTGGTAGTATGAAGATTATGCATGTTATTATTATTTGATTGTTTACTATTTACATAGGTGAAAGATGTATATTTATTGGAGTTTTTTTTTTGTTGTTGTGAAATTGGCTCTAGACAAAGGTGTTATTAACATTATCATTGAACTAGGCTCTTACTTGTTCAGCATATTGATTCCTCATGTTTACATCGCCTTACTGGTTTGCTGCAGGATTAGTTTGGTCTCCTTAACGAATTTGAGAATTATATATGTAACATCCCGGCCCTAAAAAGAAGTAAAATAATTAAATTAAGAGGAAGTAAATTGGAGTAAACAATAAAATAAAATGATTTGAATTAATTAAGGTTTTTGAAAAGTTAAAATATTATTTAATATAAAAAGGGTCAAAAAGGTCATTTTAAGTTCGGGAAGGAATTTGAGAATTTCGATTGTACCGGTGCGTAGAGCACGTCGAAACGAGTCCGTAGACACGTAGTGGGCTCAGATCGGAGTTATAACGAGGAAAGTACGATCTAAATACTTCGAGGGGCAAAGTCGTAATTGAGGAAAAATCAGATTTTTAAAATCTGATTCTCCTTCCTCTCTCTCACTCTCTCTCTCTCCCCGTGCGCAGCTCCCCCTCCCTTTGTTTTTTTTTTCAGAACAGCCGGTGGCTTTGCAAGCCACCACCGTCGCCACGCCGGACCACCGGCCACGAGACCGGACCCATTCAAACCGCCACCTCCTCCTCTCCCTTCCCCGGCCAGCACAGCCAGGAGCCCAGCCACCAGCCACCGGAAAACGCAGAAAATTGGCTGGTTTTTGACAGATTTTCCAAGGCTTCGTTCTCCCTCATTTCTTCACCAAATCGGACGAATGAGGTATGAAATTTCGACTATTTTTCATGCTCTAGCTGATGGTTGGGTAGGAATTGAGAACTTTCTGCGTTATGGTAGCTAATTAAGCGATTGAAGAAGCTGCCGGTTTCGACCTCCGTTTTCAGCCATTTTCGGCCACTTTTTGGCCATATCCCAAGAACAAAAGTGACTCCAAATTAGGTGTATTACCTAGGGTAGGAGTTTGGAGTCAAGATGTTAAGTTTTTCCGGCGAGTGGTTATCGCTTTGGACACCCACGTGCTGCCGGCGCGTGTGCCGGCGCGTGGGAACTGTAGCAGAGAGACTTTTTTTAAATCCTAAAATGATCTCCTGGTTGTCACGAGCGCGTAGAATTTTACGGATCTCAATTCGGATAACGTTTGAACCCCGAACGGATTTTACATATTGTGTGATTTCCGGGTTCGATATGTTAGAACCGTTGGATCGCTTCCCATTTAATATATTGATTTACTTATTTCTAGAATCGTGTAGGAATTCACGGATCGGGAATTGGAGCCTCGGATGTTCCGATTTAAATAATTAAAGTTTGTGTTTTACGTTAATCGTCCGATCATGCGATCGCGAGCGATCTAACCGTCCAATCCGGACCAAACTTGCAGGACGTGTATCCTAGACCTTGTGGAACCCATAGGGACGTTTGGATCATAAAACGGTGGTCGTGGGCCCCGCGGGCCCGGTTGACCAAGTTTGGGCAGTTTGACCTTCGGTTGGCCGTGAGTCTCCCGAGGTAGTTCCACTCTTCGAGGAGTACTAGAACGACCCTTTTGGATGAGTCTTGACTGTCATTAGATTTATGTTGATTTTGTGGATTTATGAGATTGTTTTTATGGTTTTGTGATATAAATCTCATGTTGTTGAAATTAATGATTTATTTAAATTCTTTTTATATTTAATAGTTGAATGTTTAATTTCTGTAAAGTATTTGTGATACATTTGTGGATTTGATATATTCGAGTGTCTTGAGTTTATATATATAATATTTGAGAAAGCACTATCTTAAGTACTTCCTCGGTTATGGGTTCTATGCTTGAGAGTTTATTTGTCTACTTTGAATAGTTATTGTGGGAAAAATTGAATTAAGAAATGGAATATTACTTTATAATATTTTTATAAGGATTACGAACTCCACCATCATACGTACCTCCCCCCTTGGATGATGATATTTGGAAACAATGGGTATGGACACTGGGATACATGGAAATGGATATATGGATATGTTTTGGATATACTATTCACACGTGCCGGGTTTCGGGCGTGTGGGCTTTCTTGGTCATGGATCCTGGAATTGTGGGATGCCGGAAAAATTGTGGATATGGTCTAGATATGACGGAACCCGGGGCATACCTTAACGGGGTGTCGCTGTAGACCCTTAATTGGGTAATCTGCACGCGTAGGGCTGTTTTCATCGTCCGTACGTGCTGGCTGAGAGTTAGTCCCCCAGTTGGACGGCTCGTCCCTAGCCACATAGGCCGTTTGAGGGCTGATAATTGTGAGCTAGTCAACAATCCCCTGTTGGATTGTTTCCCCAGTACATGATGTGCATCATCATATGTACCTCCCCTTGGATACTGATACATGGACATAGTGGATATGGTTTGGATATGACGGAACCCGGGGCATACCTTAACGGTGTGTCGCTGTAGACCCTTAATTGGGTAGTCTGCGCGCGTAGGGCTGTTTTCAGGCGTACGGGTCTTGATTCTTCGTCCGTACGTACTGGCTGAGAGTTAGTCCCCCAGTTGGACGGCTCGTCCCTAGCCACATGGGCGTTTGAGGCCGGATACTTGTGAGCTAGTCAACAATTCCCGGTTGGATTGTTTCCCCTGGTACATGATGATGGTGAGAGGTGGGTGTTATTATATTACATATATGTATATATGGTTTTGATTCTGGTTTGAGATTTGTGAGTTTGTACATGTATGAATGTTTAAGCCCTGGATTGGGAAGTATTCGGCAACATACGCCTTGGATAGGGTGTGGTTGCGTGGAAAGAATTGATATAAAGGGAAGAAATTGATAATGTGTTCCATGTACATACGCCTTGGATAGGGTATGGTTGCAGGGTTGATTTGATATAAAGGAAGAGTTTGAGAATATGTTCATTGTGTTTTGTTGGAATTTGGATGGTGATAAATATGAAATGTATTTGTTGGTTCTGCTTTGAATATTGGTATATTATCGGAGTTGAGGCCATTGATAATGAGAACTACGTGTGGCTTGATCCCTTGTTCGAGGGTACGTAGGCAACCTGGGGTCTCACCTAGGTGCAGCTGCGAAATATTATTGTGTTTAAAAAGGTTTGTTCGATTCTGCGTATGTGATTGGATTCCTGATGTGGTTCGATGTGATTGTTGGATTTGAATCCAGTTTAATGATTTCTGTGGTGTTTGTAAAGTTGTTTGAAGTCATTAAGTACATGGTTTATGTAGTAATTGACTTGAGAACATTGTTGGTTCTGTTTTGAATTATCTGAAGGCCGGAGGCCGATTATATGAATTGCATGAAATTATATTGTGCGTGCTGCCTGTTGGAATATTAAAATGTTAATTTTGTGTAGGTTGAAATTTGGGAAATGTTCAATTTACAGGGGAGACTCTGCCGAAATTTCGGTAGAAAGTCTCGTGCTCTTTTCCCTTAATTTGGAAAATAGGCTAATTTTTAATTAGTGGGCCCGGTATCGGTGTGATGTCAGAATTTTCACAGGATTCGTCTCGAGTTTTGAGGAATTCGGGGCGGGTCCTGTCAATATATGTGTTGTGATGAAAATGTGCAGGACATTTTAGTAATCAAATTAATTTGGATTCTGATTCATGAAAATTAGTAAACAATAACAATGGGAATCAACCCATTCTTTTGCTAATTCCATATGTTTAGTAAGCAGCTTAATGAGAATGATTCTTCCCATACTGATTCAGTATTTTCCCGATTCCTAAATTCTTTAATTCCTTACTTTCTCTATTATTGATACGTAAACATGCCCTGAAAGTGCTTTTCCTTTTACCAAACAATTGAACAAAAAAGCCAATTCAACATAATGCCCTTTTTAGTCATTATACACATCATACAGCATGTTCACCAAAAAAAAAAAAAACCAAACAGTCAAACTGATTATTGTACAAACAACACTTATAAAAAAAAAAAAGTTTACCAGACGTCCAAACTGCTTTCTCTTACAGCAAATCTGACAACGATTATTTTCACAGCACAGCAATACCAAACTGACCCTGAGCCATATGCATCAACGTGGATTTCAAAATCAGTGCACCCCATGGATACCTACGTAGTGAAACTTTCTTATGTTTTCCGTTGTCTTTTCAATGAGTTTTGGAACTATTATCCGGTTGAATTTTAATTTTTCTTTGGTTTGATCCAAAAATTGGCTTGATTTTGTAATTACATGAGATTTTGTTTTGAGAAAGATTTTTTCTTTTTGAACCTGAAACTACTAATATGCAAATTAATGTCATTTTCCACTGAGTTAGATCCCATTGGTGTTTTAACAATAAAAAATGATGAGCATTTGTAGCGTGAAGCATTTGAGTTTCTAAGTATGACCATATCGCTAGCGTGGAGGAAATTAAAAATTTCTAAAAAAGTAGGCCACGGTCCTTTCTGTAAATTTTTTCTAGCCTCACACGTAAAGTATCTGTGGACACAATAAGCCAAACCCATTTGATATGGGATTTGCCTATGTGGTCCAGGATTTCAAATAATTGAATCGCAGGGTTTTTCACCAACTGCAAATGTGCCCATATGTTAAACATAAATTTGCTACCTTGCATGCATTGCTTATTTTCTTCCTTTGATGTGACATCTCCCCCAAAAAGACAGAAAGAGAAGACGAGTCCAATCTGCTCTCTCCATTTTTCTTGTCCTTTTTCTATGTTCCTTTTATAATTTCTTCACACGTGCTCGTCTACTTAACTCCAATATATGCATTCCAATTAATAAGATGTGGATCTCAAGAACAAACTATCATTTCTGCAATAAATGTTATGACTTTTAAAAAACTTACTAAAATTTGTCCATTCCATCACCCCCCCCTAACATTTACATTTCTACATCCTTCCCTCTTACTTGTTGGAATTTGCTAGAATAAAAAATGCATGTTCTTTGCAACTCAAAGCACCACATTGCATTTCAGAATGAATCAGGCCACAAACTTATAACTAATGATGTGTTTACTAATTAGGAATTGAATTCCATTTATGGAGGATTCCTGTGTTTACTTCACATCAAGGAATTAAAAAGTAAGTGGGCCCATACAAAATTAGGAATTGAATTCCTGATTTTGGAGGAGTTCAATTCTTGGGTGAGAGGTGATATTTTAATTCCTAGAGAACTAATCCATTAGGAATTCATCTTTTTTACCCATTATATCCTCACACATTTTCAAAATTCCAAATTTGCCATATGCTTTAATCAAACAACAAGGACATTTTAGTAATTAGAACTACTCCTACCCCAATTCCATATTGTTTAGCAAACAACTTCAATAGGACTCCGGAATTTAACTCCCCTCAATCCAGATGGTTTAGTAAACAACTTCAATAGGAATCCGGAATCTAATTCTCCTCAATCCAACTCCTCCTCAATTCAATTCCTTATAATCCAATTACGGATTAGTACATGTCATAAGCATAAAAACAGTTATAAGAATTGAGCGAGAGTTGACATGAAAGGACATTGTCTGGTTCTGACTAGTATTTCAGAGTTGTTAATGGTGTCTCCCATTAAAAAAATAATAAAAAATTACATTCTTTTGTTACCGTTTGGTCGTGGGAAATGCTCCGGTTAAGTACTCTGTGTTTTTTTTACCAAATGTCCTTGAATTGAAATTTGGAATTGCATAATTACAAAATCTGCTGCCCATGATAGATACGTAAGTAATATTTCAATCTGAAATTTATAGGGAAAAAAATAGAAAGAGAAGACTTTGCTTGAGCTTGATTTGACGAATCCGGATCTGCTGTCTCCATTTTCCATGTCCTTACATGTTCCTTCCCTAATTTCTTGATATGTGTTCATCTACTTACCTCCAATATTTGCATTACAATTTACAAGATGTTGATCTCAAGAACAAACTACCATTTATCCAATAAATGTAATATTTTCTTAATATATGGGAGTTTGAATCATACAACAAATATCATTTTTGGACTGGGAAGGAATTGTGGTATTTACACACTGAATATAAAACACCCTAGCTAATTTTATGCACATATAAGTTGCTTGAATATGTATATATATTATTACGTTGCAATTTCTCAATATCCTTGAACCTGTTTTCTTTGTTCTTTAACCGATGAGTTAATTATGATGTTGCAAGTTTCCAACCAATTAATTTTAACGTTGCAAGTTCTGGACTAATTAATTCTGGTTTTATTATTCTGAACAAAGCTTACTCCATAGGAGTAATTGTTGTTGATTGAGATCAAAATATATTGGAGTTGAAGAAATTTCAAAAACGATGAAGGAACCAAGCTCTGCAATAATACCCTTCATTATTGTTTCATTCCTCTTGCTCTGCAGTACAGTTCATTCTATCATTCCTTTTTGTGCTAGTCTTGATCCACCAATAAAGACATTACCAAAATCATGGACAAGTGCTTTCAATGACTCCCTCAAATTTCTTCCCAAAAAATCTCAACAAGTTCTCAATGACTTCCTTCAATGCCTTGGAGAAATATCTCAGTCCAACCCTCCAATTTACACCCCTCAAAACACCTCATTTCCCCATGTGTTGTTATCACTCATTAAAAACCGCAGATACTTTACACCTACAACTCCAAAACCTTTGGCTATTGTAGCACCCACGCATGAATCCCATGTCCAAGCAACTGTCATTTGCGCAAAACGACAAGGGTTGCAAATTAGAATCCGAAGTGGTGGCCATGATTATGAGGGCTTATCATACGTATCGGATGTTCCCTTTGTTGTTCTTGACATGTTCAATCTTCAATCCGTTGATATGAATCTTGAAGATGAGAGTGCTTGGGTTCAAGCTGGGGCTACTATTGGTGAACTTTACTATGCAATTGGACAGAAAAGTAAGGTTCATGGGTTTGCAGCTGGATCTTGTCCAAGTGTTGGTATTGGTGGCCACTTTAGTGGTGGTGGGTATGGTCCACTTATGAGAAAATATGGTCTTACAGTGGATAACGTTGAAGATGCTAAACTTGTGAATGTGAATGGTAGAATCCTTGATAGAAATACAACGGGAGAAGATCTTTTTTGGGCCATTAGAGGTGGTGGTGGAGCCAGCTTTGGAGTCATTCTTTCATGGAAGATCAAGTTGATTCGAGTTCCACCTAAAGTGACCATGTTCAATGTTAGAAGGA